TTTCTTTTGGCTCCGGCACTGGTAAATAAATCCCCGTTTTCTTGATAAGAACAAACGATAATGTTATCGTACTCTTTATCCACAAAAGCTGACGATTAGCGTACTTCACCTTTTTCAAAACCTGCACATATCATGTTGACCACAACCTTGCCTGCCATATACCTCCATAACCTCAGCAGAAAAAACCACAATAGCTAAATTTTAAGGGCATTGGAAGCAAAACAACTTTTCCCAAGACTAGCCGTTTTTTATGAGTCTCCCACTGAGTACTGCACATGGAGATCAACACAAAGAGTTCAGGTGATGGGTAATATGGCCCTCTCACGTTGTACCAAATACCACTCTTAAATAACGGGTGAGGTCACGAGCGATAAAAAAGCCTTCCTATCTCCGGTTCATTTTCGGATTCTTGGAATCTATCCATAGTGCTTCGAGAGCTTTGCGCGCTGAAGTTTCTGATTGCTGTGTAAATGTATTTCAGAATCTCCCCAGTTAGATTTCCTTATCTGATGAGTGCGTAATGAAGAATTTGGTTCAACTTTCAGTTTATTGGCTAGGTGTTCCTTTATACGGACGTAGAGTGCTCTACCCGTTTTGCCAATGTATTTGTCTCCGCGCGCTTTACAAGAGTTTAGATAAACTGTAACCGGACTCATGTAATCACAGTCCCTACTGTTAGGATATATTGTGCAATTTTGCGTTGTACACAGAAGAAAATAGCTGGCGTCTTAGGATGCTCATTGGTATTTCAATTACTGTTGCCGAATTCTCTAGACCGGCTCTTCTTAAGCAACGTTTTATACCTCCACTTATTTCATTGGAAATTAAGGATGGAACAAACGATGCCTTAATATCGCAGAGTTGGTGGCCTCGGTTTTTCTCTACACCTATCCCGAAGAGCTATCCCGAGATTGTTAAACAGCATACGTTTACTTCCATACAGTAGCACACTTACAACACAATCGTAGCTGACGTTTCGGGAGAATCGCCTTCTTCTAAGCCGGTTTTTTCACTTGTCTTCCACCGAGGAAGAACAGCCGCTCGGAGTCGCATATGGTTGACGACTGGCCGACTGAAGAAAGCGATACTGCCGAAACGTCAGGTACGATTGTGTTGTATGTGTGTTATTGTATGGAAGTAAAGGTATGTTGTTTTACAACCTCGCGATTGCTGAGAGAGAAAACGACGAATTCAACTCGTGAGTTTTGATAAGTTAGTGTTTGACAGGACGTGTTTGTTATTCAACTCTGGGTTGAGAAATAACTTATGGTAAGCTAACAAACGACAAAGCATGGTAAAAACTAAAAAATTTACGCTTAGCGGCTAGGTGTTCTTCTATGCCGAAATGGGGTGGCCTAGCCGTTTCGACTATAAATGTATTCGTCTCCGGACGGTCTACGAGAGATCAGATACTTCGTTCCCGAACTCACGCTGTTACCGTCTCAGTGGTTAAGGAAAATTGTGGCCTATGGTATTGTGCATTGACGGTCATACGAACGGTTACGAACTAGTTGGTGTCTTACAGTGTTCGATAATATTTTAATCACTGTTCCGGATTTTTCCAAACTGGCCCTTATAAAGCAACGTTTTATGGCTATGCTCCCTCTTGAACTGTGCTTCTTTGACGCTTTTTTTCAGATTTGGTGATATGTTGCATTTCGGATAAAAATTAGTAGCAGATCATATCCGTGGAATAAAAAAGATCAAAGAAACTAAGAAAAATAACTATTAAAAATAAAGGCATTGACTTCATCACGTATCAATACATTAATGGAGAGCACCTTTTCAGGCGATGGACAATGTCCTTCATATTCCTCTAGAGGACAGCAACAAAGAGGTGTGTCATGACCTTGCGTAGAATTTTTTGTAGAGATTTTAAAAACGTTTAAATAGATCTAGTCGAAAATAAAAGCTTGAGTTAGCAGAATAGCGATGACAGATGATAATTTGAAACCGATAGGTTTATAAGCTCACAATAGCTGGTGCTAAAAGAGTGATTTATTCATTTATCCAATTGTTTAGCCGATTCCGTTGAAGCACAGTTCATTTAAATTCCATATAATCCTTAAAGTTACATGCAATACTGTTGTAATAATTAAAGTAGCGATTTTGAATTGAAACTTGGGAACAGGTAACGCAATGGTAATGTCGCCCTCTACTACGTGAAATGTAGGACAAAGTATTTCGATCCTAATGCTAGGATTCACACACATATGTTTTAGCTTACAGTAAGATTTTCTGATTGAAATAAGTAGTCATTAGACGATTTACATCTTTTTAATGTAAATATAAAGGATAAACGATAAAGCATTCGGTTTTGATCGATCTCTCCGAGATGGGCCATGCCTCTTTTCCATTATTATACCTACACCATTCCCTACCATCGCAAAGTTCCAAGCTTCCGAAGTCACAACTTTTTCTGCATCGGTGTTTTTAGTAGCCACTTAGTTATTGAAGATTTTTATAACAATTAGGAATTGGTGTTGGTGCATGAAAAAGTGACACTCAATTGAGGAGAGATGGAACGATACGTTGTGCGACAGGGTTGATCTCCGATAAAATCGGTTTTGTTAATCAGTGTCAGTTTTGAAGTTTGTTGTTTTTAGATCAACTTCTCAATTTTTTGGTGAAGGTTCCAGTTAAGCTGTGGTGTTCTGAAACTGTCCCTTCGCTTCTACTTATTCCGCAAATTCTCTACTAGCTTTGTAAGGATCTGCCCCAGTGCACAGTTACCTTCGTTTGTCTCTTCGGAGTACTTTTCAAACCAATATCGCACTGTACAATTTTTCATTGCAAAAGCCAAAGCCCAAAGCTGATGCTTTTGATGGTTTATTTGGCTTCTTAGTTTGAACTCGTAAGATAAAAGTCAACTCGGTAATTAAGCATTGATTCTTCGATTCCTAGAGTGCTGAAAGACCCTACCGTATTCGACATGCGAATTCACTTTCAACCATTGAACATAACGTTATACAATGGTGCTGAGATATTTGCAAAATCTAAGCCATATTCGATTCTGACTAAGAAAAAGGCAAACCTAGGACATTAGTGGTTCAGTGGGTAACACGTGCACCACGAAAAGAGTTATCACGTTTTCGAATCCTAAATGAGATCCCAGTTTTGCTAATATCTCAGCATCATTGTGGTTGTGTTTCACATAGTACCCTTCTATGAAAAATAATAGCAAGCAAGTAGAAATTCACACATAGCATGAGTAATTTTCGAGAGAAATATATTTTTTCAGGGAAATGATAATTTGATGAAGAATGATTCTGTGGTAGTCCGAATAATCGTATGTAGAACTTCCACGCTTTATTGGTTAATATAGATTGATGGAAATTTACTCCAAACCTCCGACTGTTTTACAAGTTGACAAGTGGACAAGATGATAGAAGGCCCTTCAAGCGATATCTCGATTTCGTAAATGACAGCGATAATCTACCTAATTTCTTACACAGGCTCTGTTTCAAGAATTTAAACGCCAAATTCAGACCTGCACCGTTGATAACTGACGAGAAATCGTTGGTGCGCTCCATGAATGCCAAAGTGATATTTGGGCACTAACTGCAGCATTTTTATTTATTTTAGTTCTACATGTTCGCCGAAGGTTAACGAAACGATCATGTTGAATTTTGTTCAGAAAAGTCCGTCATGTGAAACAGAGAAATTTAAAGAAGCTAATACGAGACAATCAAAGTAGTTTTTAACTTATTATTTACTGCCTTTTTCTTTTTAGCGGCAGGGTATATATTGCGAAATATAACTTTAATGATGCTGAGATATTTGCAAAACTCCGAACCGCAGGTGTCTGCGGTGGAAACAAAAAAAGGTCGAACGCTCTATTGTCCTTTCCGGGGAGCAACGCGTTCACCACCACACCACGCGGGGCCATCGTTTCGCCTGTCTCTCAGCTAGTTCTATCGTTCTTTTTGCCACAGCAATCACCCGTCAGCGGGGTTGATCTGGCGAGCCCAAATCGGCATCGAACCCAGTTAAGCTGAGGCTTAGTTATAATCACAATCTTAACCCTTTTATTTACTGCCTTTTTCTTTCTAATGGCAGGGTGGTGAAGTGCGCTACTCCCTGGTAAGGACAATAGCGCGCTCGTTCCCCACCGCATACGCCTGCGGTCCGGAGTTTTGCAAATATCTCAGCATTATATAAGAGTTATGTTTCGCAACATACCCTACCATTAGAAAGAAAAAGGCAGTAAATAAAAGGGTTAAGATTCCGGCATTTCCATTAGGAAGCTTAGCTAAAAGTAAACCAATTCGAGAAACCACCACTGTCCTGGAACGAAATTAGTCGCATGGTGGCAAATCTCCCTCAGATCCACAAAGGATGCGACTGCATGTGATGATGAAGACCTGGGGCAGACTTTGGCCAGGCTGACCTTGGGATTCCAGGAAGCCACAACCTTTACCAGCAAATCTCCGAAGTAGTGGAGATTATGCTGGGGCCCGCACAACCAATGAGGGCGGGCCGTTCAAGTATCAAGTATATTTCTTTAAAGGTTGTTGGTTCCCACGACTGACCCTTTTTTGCCTGCATCAATTTGTATAAGGTGCGATTCCAGGGGTTGACTCTATTTTATGGCTGTAGCGGACCGTCTTGTATCTTTTGTATAAACACACTCTTGCATACATGTATCGCTCCACTTCTGCACGTAGTCTTCATCCTTGTCGACAAAATTTTGGTAGTAAAAGTACAGGGAGACAAATGGGAGTAGTTCGAAGTAAACTTCACCAAATAGGCTTCACGGTGACCGAAAGCACTCGACATGTCACCTATGCGTATAACAAATCCTACATGCAACCCAGGTTGAGCTATTGATTCTAACCTTCATGCTATTGATAGTGAACATGAAGAAATCCATGCAGAAAAAAACGTGATACTTTTCAAATTTCTCATGCACACACAGACCAATGAACTTTACTGCAGCTTTTTTTGGTCACTAGATGCTTATAAGAATATAAATAACACACGGAAAAAAGGCGTTATGGATGTTTCAGAAGGAGAAAGCAATCGTGCTGCGGGTGCAAGAAATGGGAGAGGAATCCGAACCACTGACAGAGGAGGTCTCAAGGGCGATACAATCGTTATGGTGAAGATTTCTTTCCTTCACATACTCTTTAAGGAATGATAGTGGTCTCACTTCACGATGGCGAGACGATTTGATTTAGTCAAACCAGTAATTCTAATCAGAAGAAAATTACCTGCGTTCACTTATACATAAAAATGATTTTTTAAAGTATGCTATTACTGAATTAATTATCAAAATTAAGCTGTGAGAAGTTTCTGTTAAGGTCTGATCCAGGAGTTAAAAAAGCGTACGAGATGCGCAGCGAGTACCAGTTGACAGATTCAGCTAAATAGTGAGTGCACGTACTTTTCTTATTTTCTGTTATACTTTATTTATTCGTCTATATAAAGTAAGATCTACAATTTTTTATAAGTCAGAAGTATAATAAAAGGGTAAGCATGAAATCCGTTCAGTTTTCTCGACTCGTGCGCCCGAGTGAGTGAACCTGGCTATCGGCCTACAGAACAGGATATACTCTATTCACGAGTGGCAACAACCGGTGTGGTAGAAGTTAAATTTAAAATCAAGGAGCTAGATTTTAGGTATGTGCATTAGTATATGGTCTTCTCATTTTTCATTATATGACAACGGGCACAGGCAGTAAAGTGGTGTGATGTGGCCAATGCGTGCAAAATGCTGGCTGGATCGCACCTAGCAAACCAGGCCGTCATCCTCTTGAGCCAAGACATTGAGTCGTGCCTCAACTAGGCTACTCTCGCTGCAACCAAATCGCAAAATATGGCGAACACCCGTGCTAAAAGTCTGAGGCGACCTCAGCAATCTCAAAATTCGAGAAGGAATTGACTCGACCGACATTCAACAACATTGATGAAGGAGACAAACAATCCTCAAGTCGCAATAGAACCCACATCCAAAATTCGAAGACTAATCGAATGCAGGAAATGGTGGGATCTGCACGATTTGCACTGTATGCACAATGTATGTTGTCGGGTCGTGCAAAATGAAATATAAATGAACATTAGGCAAAACCAACCGACATTGAGAGAAATCTTCGTGAAGATCTTCGCTTCATCGTACTCATTATATGCTTCCTTTGGGTTCTTTTTACTATCCGCTTAAATATTACTTTCTCATTAGTTACTAGTACAATTGAGGATGAATGAAATATGAACCGGATGGGAATCTGGAACTATTTCAGCTCATCAGTTCTGCTCCTCACATTGAATCTTTTTTGTTAAAAAAAACCGAATATTGCGTTCATTTGTTTTTAGACAATTTTGGTGAAATACAGCCCCGCTCTAATTCATGGACTCGACTTAAATTCTGCATAGCAACCGGCGGTTATTTCACATGCCTACGATGTCGCTCTGGAAACTACACGCGAACAATTGGTGGCTGAATATGTAACGTGATTAAGTAAAGGCGAATGCACGGACACATTACGAAACTACATCCTGCATAATAAATACAAAAACAAGGAGTAAGGAAAATCCAATGCTATCGAAGTGAATTGTTTGGATAGAATAGAAAGTTCTGTCGTAGGGTCGGGGAGGAAGTATGAAGGTTAAAATAGTAGAAGATAAGTGTCAAGAACAATTCTAGAAGAACTGTTGGTCAAACACGTCAATCTTTCTTGCTGTTCCCAAAGGCCCAACCGTGGCTCAAGCTGCTTCTTTCCTTTTCGTCCTTCGTGCTGTTTTCTATGATCATTGAACGTCCGAAGCAACGTATGACGTGGTATCTCCACTTTGAGAGCCTTTTATCTCAATTTCCTTAACATCCTATTACGTAGTTTTCATAGACTGCTGCTTCCGATTTTGCGCAGTCCTTTTATTTCTCTTTACGTCCGTTGAACGTAAATTCTGCTTCATCGGAATCATAAGAAAGATAAAATTTTTCTCATTGAAATAAACTCTTCATAAATGAACACGTCATTTTTCGTTGCATTTAAGAAGCTTCGTAAGATCGTGTTACCTTGTGGTAACTCTCGTCTTGTGAATTTGTTAAGAAAGTCGGCTAACATTCATGCCTAGAACACGTCAACTCCGTGATCACCGAATTTTTCCAGAATGGCGTACGGTCCGACAATGTCGAACCACTTCTCCGCAGCCGATAGTTGTTAATATCTTCGACGCAGTAGTTTAGCTTTCTTTACTACACATTACTTTTTCACGGCAAGGAACCACGTGAAATACAGCAACAATGATGCTGAAATACGAGCAAAGCAGATATGATGATTGCTGATAACACCATCAAGGTTAAAAGAACTGGTTGAGAGAAAGACAAAAAAGGGACTCGATGGTGCTTGGTATAACACATGAGTCCCCGGAAAGAGTATTCTTAGAATCAAAGATCATCTGGGATGCTGAGTTTTGCTCATTACTTAGTGTCGTTGCAGTTGTATTCTCGACATAGCCCAATGACCATAGCTTCTTCATAGTCTAATGAAAGGTAGGGGATATACTTGAGAACTGACGAGCGCAGTGGATGAGGAAGAATTTCGCAGCCCCCATCTCGTTCAACCTTTGCAGCGTCGATAGTGCGACGTACATGTGACCGCTAGTTGTTATGGAGTACCATTAGTCCATCTCTGTTGTGCAGTACAGTATCTTCAGGTTGAGAAATTTGAAGAAATTCGTGAAAACACTTCATCATCGTTGTCGTGTCGGATCCAGAAGGCTGTAACAAGTTAAGCCAGCAGCAAACCAATAAACGGTCACCATAACCTTCTTCTGGTTCAATTACGGTCTTTGGAAGTGCTACGGAGCTTCATCACTGCCCAACCACTACACCAATCATCGCTGGTTATCATGGAACATCCATTTCTCGTCGCACATAGCAATGCGTTCGAGAAACGTGTCATTCTGGTTTCCCAGAAGAAGCGCTGGCGACACCTAAGAAATGCGATTTCTTTTGTTTCAATTCAATTCGTACGGCGTTCGTTCGTTGACCCTTCTTTAGCTCCTTATTTTCCTTGGATGCTCTGGACCAAACGAATACATTGAATTCTTTAGCATGTTCTCGAATAATTGGGCCTGGTCTTGTTCCCACCATGACCTTCAATGCATTCTCGTCAAAAGCGGAAGGATGTCCTCGATCCTCCTCGCCATCAAAGTCGAATAGGTCACGAGGAAATTTTTCAAGCCAACTGCCACGACCGACTTTCTATTAACCTCGGCATTGATCAAGTGATTTTCTTCGTATTTTTGTTGAGCAAACGCGAGGTGTTATTATTCTTTGTTCAAGATTAAGCTGACGTTTCGGCGAATTTCGTCTTCTTCAGAGCCGCTTTCTATGAGGTCTCCACTAAGTATGTCACGTAGAGACCAACCGCACAGAAATCACGTGGAAGTATAATGTCAAATTTCAAGCCAACGTTGCATTGCACGTTCGTTAACACTTTTATGGCAAAATACTTCATTAATGTTTCGAGCTGTCAGCACTGCATACCTCCGATTTTAAACCCTTAGAGATACTTTTTTCGAAATTGCTGTCTTGACGCCACAATTTCTAATATGTCCAACAGGCAAAAAAACCAATCTTATTACTATCCATTTGCATACATGGAAAATGCACAATAAGCCTTGCAATCATATATTGGTACAGAACTCGATGATGAAAATGCTGCTACAACGCCAATAAGAAAAATAAAACCAAAAATCCAACATTGATTTACAAGCAAACATATTAGTGAGATACATGGAAAAGGCCTTCAGCAAGGAAATCCCACGATAGTTTCGATAACCTCTTGTTCATTAGGCCTTGTCGCTTTGTGATATGTTGTACAATGATATGGATTGCGAGAGCTGAATGTATTTCATGACTCCTAGCTAAAGAAAAACAATTCTGGCAGCTGCACTAGTCTTTTTTCGTAACTTCATTTCTCTTGGTGCCCTCGTGAAAATCTGACCTTTGGAAAGGTGACATGTGTGGTTTTTCTCCTGCCAAAGTTTTTTGGATCTGGTACGAGGATTGTGAAACGAAAAGGAGCAGGAAAAGGCTCTTGTCTCCAGGAAAAAAAATCTCTCTAAAAAATCACATTCGGAGAAGCTTGCTAAGGATAATTAGAAAACCACGGCATTCACACAGGGTCTAAAGGCATTTATTTATAATTGTTTTTCTAAGCTGCTTCCAAAAGTCTTCTCTGTTCACCATCCCTGCACCATTGCAAGTCCACCTGTAGGGATCTTTTGCAACTAGTATGTTCCACAGATGTGTAAAAGAAATGTTGTAAACGATAATTTACCTTCTCTTATCCAACTCTTGGCAGTAGTAGGGATGCTACGAGAACTTCTTTACTAAACGCCTTAGGCGTATTCGCTAAAGGCTTTGTTTCCTTTGAGGAACAACTCGCTGCCTTCGCTTGGATCCTCCTCAATTAACTAGTAGTATGGAGAAGGGATTCTTTATAAAACATTCCCCACCTTTATGCTAATTGTCATTTTATGATATTTGTATATCATTGACTGATTTTTATTGCTCCCGCAAAGATAATCTCCATAATAAAGCTTTGCCGTCAACAAGAACCTACATGACGGTTTCTTATAATTTTTGCTCCACTCTGTAATTTTTCTGGTCCAGTATTTCCTTTGGGTGAGCTCTTCTCATAGCATTGAAATCTTCTCTAACAAATTTATAGGTCACTCTCGATTTTCTAACACGTAGTTTGAAGGAATAGTACAGCAAAGAGGAATCGAAGAATCGCATGTGTCTGCCCGGGATAGGTAGCAGAATGTTTTCTGATAAAGCGTGCACAACCAACATTTCGTTACATGATATGTTTGTCACGGATGACCAGTTCTCGTCTTTTAAATTACTTTTCTTGAAGAACATTATGCAGTATCTCGAGACGTCCACTAACTTGTACGGAATGCCCTTCTTCTGCTGTGGGCCCCAAAACACATTCCCTTCGTTTCTTTCTCGCAAAATTCTCAATGGTGATGGAGTTCGAAAGGAACATTCAGCAATCCTAAAATATTTTCTATGTGAGAATGCAGATGGTTGACATTGAGCACGAACATGTCTGCCCATCATTTGAGCGTTCTTCCGAGAGGACGCTTGCATTCTCTTGGAGTATACTCCACTGTCATCATCGTCTATCTATCGTATATTCTTCTCATTGCATGGCCGGAAGATCTGTTCTTCGCTATCGATGTGTATTCTGCCAGATCCCAAAGATGGGATAGGTTCTAAAGATGGGAGTTAAACATTGCATGCCAGTTAGAGTGCCTTTTGAATTCCGGAAAACCTCGTTCGAGCACTCTGCAATTGGTGTGCAGAATTCTTGACACGGTTGGTATTAGTCATGCAAAGAACAATTTAAAAAAGAGGATTTCGATTGGAAAAAATAAGTGCGGAGACGTTTTCCTACTCTCAAAATCGTCGTAGTTCTTGCAATCTCACAAACCGTTCGCCTCTTCCTAGGCAGTGTAGTTAACTGTTATACCGTGCTGACCTCCCAATTCACATGAAAATGGCCAAGTTTTCGGTGATTTTTGCACTGTTTAGTGTATCTGCAGCATCAGAATTGAGTCCATCCTACCCTTTCTTGAAATTCAACAAACGACGAAAAATCATTTTCGAAACTGACTAGTATCTGTTTGGCTTAGCTAATGATTGTAATTTCAAGAATTATGTCAACGGAAAAGTGAATGCAGCGTAGTTGTTGACGTCGACTTCCTTTCCACATTTTCAGGTCCATTTAAGCTTTATGTTTTCGAAAGTGTCGGAAAAATTCGATTTGTTCTCCTTATCATAAATCACTTTCAGGGAGGCATCACTTGTGTAGCGGTTAGCACGTAATCCCCCGGAAAGGGTAACCGAAAGATCGGATCTGGCGTGATTTCTAAGTTTTGCAAATATTTCTGCATCATTGTTCTTGCATTTGAGATAGTAACATTCCACGAAAAAATAGTAGGAAGTAATCTCAACCTTCTTATTTATTACCTATTCTTTTTTAATGATAAGGTATGTTGCGAAATATAACTTATATAATGCTGAGTTATTTGCAAAACTCCGGACCGCAAATGTTTGCGGCAGGGAACGAACGCGCTACTGTCCTTTCCGGGGAGTAACGCGCTCACCACCACACCATGTGGGTCCTTCGTTTCGCCTGTCTCTCAGCTAGTTCTATCGATTACTTGCTATTGCCGATTTGGACTCCCCAAGTCAATCCTATTGACGGGTGATTGCTGATGGCAGATGGTCGATAGAATTAGCTGAGACAGGCGAAACGAAGAACCGGCATGGTGTGGTGGTAAACGCGTTACTCTCCGGAAAGGACAATAGAGCGTTCATTCTCCACCGCAGACAGCTGCGGTCTGGAGTTTTGCAAATATCTCAGCTTTATATAAGTAGACAATAAATAAAAAGTAAAACATCCTATCCTTTATAGGTTGCCTCACAGTTGCCACCTACAGAAAAAGTTGGGACCTCGCATTTGTTAGCTGCAGCTTGAAAATCTCATTTTTCCTTTTCATTGAAAATTTGGATGCTAGTTAGTCGAACGTGGTCTTCACTGGAGTCCTAAGATACGCGTGCTTCTTCGTAATTTTTCACGAAAGCAATAGCGGACACTTCTTTTTGGGACATAGGTGCGACTCAGATTCTTCTAGAGAGCGGCGAGTCCTGGCACTGTTCCAGTCGAGTTTGTAACTTGCCAACTTAGCACTCCAGGACAGAATAACAACTCTCCACATTTTGTTAAGAATTAACAAGGTGCCTGTGCAAATATATCCAAGAACTTCTCTGTGTAGTTCAATCCACTTCGTCATAAAAGCCAATGACAACTTCGTCTCCCAGTGTCTTTAGCGATCTCCATTGTTTCGAAATGCGCTGTTGATAATCTGTTCTTAAATACTGGCCATTTTTAACATTTCCTTTAATTAGTAGTAAATACGACGGCGTACGTAGCGAAGTGGTTGGAGGCGTCCAGCGATACACACGTGGGACCGATCCTCACACCCTTGGCTAACCAAACCTCCCATCCCTCCTGGGAGGACAAATTGGTACCAGACTTGTCTGAGAGGGTAGCAGCACTGTGCATTCAATCACCTCTAACAATACTTGTTGAAGTCGAATGCATGGTCCATCTCTCAACGATTAATCAACGCCGAGAGCTTTATCCTTCTATACTTTATTAGTATTGATTACTAAGATTCCTACAATTGATCAGTATACTTGCGAAAAACATCGGATAGCATATCGTAGTTCATTGCTTACCCATCATCTATAGTTTACTTGTAATTAGTAAGTTGTAGCTTTCGTTATACATGGCTGATTTAGCTCCTCTTATTCTAAAATAAAAGTATCTTGTGCAACAAATTCCCTGATGGGTTGTTTTCCTTGGACAACGTCCTCCAACCCTCCATGAAGTGCGCCGAACTTTTTCTCACCATATATAGATTTTGTAGCATAGAAGTTGGTTAACCGATTATTTTTCCAGCTGTGGATGTGATACAGCAATCTCTAAGAATTGACTGACTGCCGATGAACACGCGAAGAAGAAAAAACCTTCAAAACCTGAAGGAATCTTTCTGCGCTAAAAATTGGTGCTGCGCTAAATGACGCATGTCTGAAATAGTGTTCCTGGGATTTTGCAAGATGATTGCAGTGTTGAATCTAAAATAATTCACCGAACGAGGAAATTCGCTAAGGGAAACGTTTGTGAACAAGATCTCCACGCTGTATGAACTTGTTTTTGGTCGTTTCAAAGGCAAGCCCTTCATGGTATTCTCAGGACACGAGTGCAGACGTCTACTTCCATTCGCTGCTGTTTTATTTGTTATCGTTTCTGTTTTTCGATTACAAAGCGAATAAGATTATAACAATGCGTTCTATTTCTGCCGATATTTTATTAGACTGGAAGCAACTCACAACTATAAAAGTGTTACCAGTGTCGCTCAATTAAGGACGCGAGTACCAACCGTTTGAGTCATCAATACTTCAAGAATAACCAAAGTTTCTTATGGAACGAGGGCATTTCACAAATTCCTTGGTCTTTCGTCGTTAACCAGAGTCACTCTAATCACCAAAATGTTTTACTATGTGAGCTCCGTGTCTTATTTCAGAGTGTTTGATGTTGGTGGGCAGCGTTCAGAGAGGCGAAAATGGATTCACTGCTTTGATAACGTAGAATCGATCATATTTATTACAGCTATCAGTGAGTACGACCAAGTGTTGTTCGAAGATGAAACAACGGTGAGTATATACCTCAACTGCCCATCAAATCTGGTTTACCAGAAAATCACGGCCTATTTGTAGTGCCCTATAGTTGAGAGGTCCGTGGAAGAAATCTGCAGTCCTCTCACAATCAGACATCTCAGATTTGTACAAACGCTCTTCTATTTATGTGTTACATACTTATTTTCCGCTGAAGCGAACACGTAGCGCAGTGATTAGAGATGTGCAACAATACAGACGCGGTCGTTGCTTAGTCCCATGCTCTGGTCAAACCAAGTCCCCTATTCTTCGTTTGTCTAGAAGAATAAAACTAATGACATAAGACGTCGACAGGCTATCTCAAGTCATTGTATAGGCCAAATACGCATTCAGTCACCGCTGCGATGCTACGAATGAAGTGGATTGCATGGGGCATTTATAACTGATTAACACTAAACCGTTTCTTCTTCATTGTTCTGCTTCGTGCTCATGTTCATGAATTGTATGATTTCTATCCTTTCATCTCTTCTTCTAGCTCTTTAAATGGATTTTCAATCTGTTAGCGCTCCCAGTGTCAGACATTTACAGGAGCAATTTTGGAATACCAGCGAAGAGAAAACAGAGGGTTAATGAACTAGCATCTGACTTCTGCCTAGGCTTTTGTTCACCACATTCCTTCAATCAATCAAATATTTACAAAGCATTTTGCACTGATTCTATGCATGCTTTCTTAGAAAACTTCAAACTTACTCATTTTTTGGTATGTCGGGTGTATACCTACTGATTTTCACTATGACGCTAAGATATTTGCCAAACTTTAAATAGACAGTAAGTAAAAGTAAGAGCACTTAATGGTTTTCAATACTTCAGAATCGTATGATCGAATCAATGCAGCTGTTCAACTCCATTTGCAATAGCACATGGTTTCTATCGACGGCAATGATATTATTTTTAAACAAAAAGGATTTATTTATGGAGAAAATAAAAAGGGTCAACATAACTACTGCGTTTCCCGATTACGAAGGTGAGCATTAATTTTCGAAGAACGAGTTACACAACAATCTTTACGCAACCACAATGATGATGAGATATTTGCAAAACTCCCGACCGCAGGTGCCTGCGGTGTTCCTTGGACCCACATGGTGCGGTGTCGAACGCGTTAACTCCCGGAAACGACAATAGCGCGTTCGTTCCCCATAGCAGACACCTGCGACCCGGAGATTTGCAATTATCTCAGCATCAATAGGGTTGTATGTCACATAGTACCCTGCCGTGAAAAATTGTAATAGGCAGCAAATAAAAAGTTAACATTGTGAATCCTTATGCACTTTTCTTTGTCTTACACCGAAAAAGGCACAGTTGGAAGGGAAACATCTTTGCAGAGAAAAACTTCATTGTAAAAGTAGTTAATGAATAAGAAATGGCTATTTCCAACATCAATTAGAGCAAAACGTGCTCGCTCTTTTTCAACTGCAGCAAAATTTAGTGAGAACAACACCTCTTCTAGAACCAGTTTTTTGTGTAATGTGCAAGTTGTGTCACGTTGTCTACTCGATGGAGGTTCAGAAAGATGAAGCATTCGGTGATTTTCTTTCCGATGAGAGCTGTTTGGGCAACAGAAGCAAATGTCTCGTGGAAATAATTTGTTTCTGTTTCTATGATCAATTTCTTCACAAAAGCTCCAAATAAGCAACTACTCATTCCGCCTGGCTTATCCTTGCTATTTGTATACTTTCCCAAAAATGACATATTTCGTACTCCAATCATTTTGCGGTTATCTCAAACATATTCCTTTACTTCAATGCGTAAATGTGTGAGCACAAATAAACTATTCATTCGGATCGTTACATCGCCCTCACTTGATTGGCCAGCTAATTTCAAGGGTCACCAACGTCTTGGAAAAATTCTAATAGCAAGGCAGGGAATCCCTCCTAAGCGAAGAATACCAACCAGTTGTGGTGAAGACAACAAAGCAACTAAAACTAGGAGTTATAGGGAGGCTATGGTGTCAGCTTTAATGTCAGTGGAAAAAGATAATAAATCCTGAAGCCTCGGCGGAAGAAAACACACCAACACGAGGACCTCTACCAGATTACGGCAATAGGAAAAGAAACGAATAGAAGCTACGCGTTGTGTGATAATGAGCCGTCTAGGTAGAAAGATATGATACTTACTCACTTCAACACTTAGAGGGCCCATTTCATTGGTTGTGCGGGCCACAGCATGATTCACATTTGTATCTCTCGCGCAATTGTTGTCGACTATAGTGGTCTTTTTCGAACATGGTGACATCCGCGAAGCCCATTCCATAATTCTGAAATCCTTGCTATCTGCGAGTGCAGATGGTTAACTTTAGCCAAGAACACATCCGTTAGTCGTTTCGGTGATCTTCACAGGAGATGTTTGCATTCTCTTAGAGTCCAATCTACTGTTCTTTTCGTTCATTTGTCATTTGTTCTTCTTATGTGATCAGCTCATCCGTGTTTCACTATCGATGTGTGATCTGCTGAGTCTCCCTTTCGAAAATCTGAGCTGCGCATTCTGGCTAGACGTTATGAGTACCGGTTAAATTTCAGAAGACATAGTTCAAGTGTTCTATGAGCGGAACACAGATTTCTTGACGTGGTTGAAGTATCAACCCACTTCTCTTCAGCACAACAGCGTTAGGAGTACCACAAAATCGAAAAGCGAGAGCGGATTTTTTGGCCGTTCAGTTGGTCGTTGGCCTCTTTGAGAGGCCCCAAATGCGGAACAACCTGATCAGCTTCTTCTATGCATGCCTCCTTCATGTTGTTTTCCACATTCATTAATCGCTCAATATATATGTATGAGATCATCCAGTTCGATTTAATCGTCTTCGCATCATAGGATTTTCATAAACTGGATCTCTTTCCGATTTATGCGTAGTTAGATTTTTTCCCGATTTTTTGAGTTCGTTGAGCATCGTCTCTGCTTCAACGGTGCTCCCGGAAAACACTACATCCGCGAAACGAGGATTTGACAGGAGTTTTCCATCAATACGTATGACCTTCTCTTCACAGTCGGATGACTTACTTATCCACTGCAATGTGGCAGTAAACAGCTTTGGTAACATTGCGCCACTTTGTCGAACTTCTTTTCCTAGAGGTATGGTGAGAGGTCGTAAAAAGTTGTATTTTCGCGGTGCATTTCCGTTAGCAACCGGGTCTTCATGTAGGACGGGTCCACTTCTTAGTCGATAAGCATTGATAGGATTGCGTTCATTTCGATCCTGTAAAACGTTTTCTCACAATCGATAAAGGTTAGGACAACGAACAGATGGTCTTGCAGAGTAGAATCAGCAAGCATATTAGATAGTTGACATGTGTTGCGAAAAGCATGCGTCATTTGTGACCAGCAGCTCTTAGGAGTTCGGCGGTGATACTACCGGGTTCTTTAGCTGTGCCTCTCTTCATACTTTTCATCGCAACTCGAACATCAGAGGGTAGAATCGTGGGCGGCTTTTCATCACGTGCGGTTTCTGGGTCCGAGAAAGAGCGCAAAAAGCTGGTATAGATTTTTCGGAACATTGATAGGAAAAGATACGGTGCGAACGGTAAGTGAAATCTCACCTCTATGAGGACACCTGAAAATTTTCACTTCGAAATGTAGATGAATGAACTAGAAAACCTGTTGACCGGATTATATCACCCTAAGTGCATGTTTCTGAACTCCCATTTTATTTCCCATCTTGGTTTTCAGGTGGGCAGAACTATGACGAAGCCGTGGCATTCATTAAACTTAAATTTGCTGAGCTAAATCTAAACCCAGACAAGAAGACAATCTACATGCATGAGACCTGTGCAACAGACACAAATCAGGTAGTGCATTAGTGTAAAATGAAACGAATGCCAAAACTTCCCACTGTCAGGTCCCATCAACCGCAATACCATCACTAACACACTCTCACGGATTGAAAACATTCATTGAACTCTATGTAAATAGACCGTAGGAAGAGTGGACGATATGCACTGGTTTAAATCCACGTTTTCTTTTTCTTTTTTTTGAGACATTTCTCCTGATGCACAAACTTTACCTGCACTATATCTCGAATAATAGCTGTAATGAAGGAACAGAACGTCTCTACCCCAGGTCCGCTCGCACCGACATACACTAGGCTCAATGCATACCGGGGCTGAAAATTTGTAGTCACATCCAATATCTCCATTAAAAAGTTTACACAAAGGTCTAAGAAGTTTAAACGTATTTACAACTAACAAATACTTGATTATCTCCAGGTACAACTAGTTATATCGAGCGTGATCGACACAATTATCCAGAAGAATCTCCAGAAAGCCGGTATGATGTGAGAGAATCGTCCGATTAGCTCAATCGCAATATGAATACTTCTTGTCAAATATATCTTCTTGAACATATCAAGTCAATAAATCTCTGGTACAAATTACTGACCGATTAATCTTAGGAGACAAAGTGTTTTAAAAAACCACTAATAAATATGCATTTCTCCGTATTTATTGCCTCAACACAGCAACAAGAGAGGATTCTTTGATGGGTGGAAAGAGCTGAGGTAGATATGGCAAAGCCTTAACGGCCTATCTGTTATTCTAGTAAAAAATCTGCAAACCTAGAAAAATATCAGCCAAATGGAGACGGGGGCTGCAATAATCGTCAAGACAGACAGTACCCATGTAGCCACCTATGTAAACAACCATATTGAATCATTGAGATAAAAAAATTTTATGGGACAAAGATAACGATACTAAAGAACGAAATAGAAGCGATAAGAACAACAACGGCAGAAAAACTTTAAAATCACACAAGCCTACACTCCGACAATAACGAAACAAATTCGCTAACTTCCTTCAATTATTTTGTAAAACCCAGATGATCGATAAATTCCCATTAAACTACGTATCTTCTTTGGCGTGTATTGAAATAGATTTCTCGGATCTCGAGCCATGGCCTGAAGACAACGCATTATTGGTAACAAACAACTTCTTGAACATTCCAGTTCCTCAATTTTGTATATAAAAAGGATAAAAGAAAAAGCACTGGGCGTTGATCAATCCCTGAGGAATGCACCAGGCATTCGACTTCATTAAGCATTGTTTGGAGGTGATTGAACGCATATTTGGCCTTTACACTGACTCGCGGTGGCCTACCGATGTATCGAGCCAGTGACAGACAAGTAGCAATTTTCCGACCCCGGATGGATAGAAGGCTCGGTGGGCCACCGATGCGGGAGTCGATTCCACGTGTGTGATGCATGGCGCCTCCGACCACTCTGCCACATGCACCATCAAGTTTTGGATATAGCACTAAATAATATGAAGGTTACAGTGAGTAGCAAGTCCACTACCATTTACAATCAACGATAGGAAAACTGTCAACATAATGATAACTCCCGAGAAGACCGACTGCCTGCTTATCCGAAATAAAACTTACTTAAATACATGCAAATAACAATGCCTTCATCATTCCATTTTCTTTGGTAAATGTTGCTAATCTGTGTGGATGTTGACGACAATGAGAATTACTAACTCTTTTCGTCAAATGATAAAATCTTCACCTGTTCACATGGAATATTTCCTGTTACTGAAATGCTTTCTATTATCAACATCATTTGAGGCCTCTATAGTGTAAGTAGCCACTGCAAGAACTATCATAGTTTTCCATGGAATACAGTATCCCTCGTAAAATGTTTAGAGCGATAGAGCGAACAATCTCCTAACAATTTCCGAAAATTTCTTCATAACTTAGGCACTTTATGAATTCAGAACTTTACAGACATTTGAAAAGAGTTCGCGTTATCCCTCTAATTGTGGGTGTGTACGTTCTTTAAAAACTTAAAATTTCAGATGGGTGAAGTTAAATATTCAAACAGTCTCAAAAGAAATTAAAAGTTTTAGAATTTTCAACGCGAGCTTCGGCAGGTGCCAACTTCAACGGCGCGTAGAAGACTATTTGTTCCACCACTTCAGAAAAAAAATTTGTGGGCTCAAAAAAAGAAAAAGGCGGAAATTCTTTGCTGTAAAATAAAAAAAAAGTTGCACACTTTAATCTCAATTAATAACGGTCGCTATGAGATTTGATAAGAAGGGACGTGAGTAACGCAGTGGTCGAAGGCGCCCTGCAATACACATGGGATCGATCCCTGCACCCAAAGCCCACGAAGCCTTTCATCCAGCCGGGGTAGGCAAATTGGTGCCAGGACTGTTTAGGAGGACAGAAGCACTGGCTCGAGGTAGGCCACCGCCAGTGACTGTAAAAGCCAGATACGCATTCAATAACTTCTAAGGATTCTTAATGAAGTCGAATGCATGGCGCATCCCTCATGAATTAATCAGCGCCGAGAGCTTTATCCCTTATCCTTTCTATGAGGTAAGACATTTTTCCTTAAAGTAGAAAAGTTAAACTATTTTCGGACACGTACACAATTAAATAGACGTCTACTGATGACTAGCAATATACGCTTATCGTTTGTAAACATTGCACATAAACAACTACCGGAAGCTCAGAATAAAGAACCAAGTTCGAAATATTACCGAAAATCGCTAAAATATGCAACAATATTTGCACTCTATTTACAAATTCGAAAGACATGGAATTAGGATAGAGTAGTTCAGAAAGGTTGGGCAAGAAATCAAAGCAATGAACGTCCGAAAACACTATTAAGAATCTGTGATGTGCTAAAGGAAGAATGCCGAAGGCTTTAAAACAAAAATTAGAAGATTGTGAAAAATCTAAACATTAGACAAGAGCGAACCAACGAAATTATCAGAGTCCCTTCATTTTGGTAAACGACTACACAATCATAGAAAGCCATAACCATTGGAATGCTTGCCTAGTTTAGTTGTTCCGTTTCATCCAACCACGGATCAATTCTCTATCTTTCAGTTATGTAAAATTTGTACAACTTCAACCCGATTTGTAGATCTGCCGAAATGAACTATTAGCAAGAGCTCTACGACTCTATCCTTTGTTGAGTGAGGGATAGTGCCAATTCACCTCCACAAATCTGCTTACCGCGAATGGAGGCCATTGCCTGTCGCGCACACTCCGGCTCAGATGGGGTCCATTGGAGACCACACTGCTGAACTCACGCATCCATTATTTAGTGATGCGTGTTACCTTACACACCACCGTTTCGCAAAAGCTCCGGTTCGCTCAGGTTTGACTTCGATAAAGTTTACTTGCCAAAACAACTATACGTAATTTGGGCTTTACCTCTCAATAATGAACGTGCTTTCGATAAAGCAAACCTAAACGAGTTATGAATGGTCTAGCAAGACAGTCAAACAGGAAGACAGTGCAAATAGGAACTGTTTTACAACCCAAGACTACAGCTCTTTTTAACAGCTAATCCTAACAATTGCTATACGAGGATAAACAAAAGGATAACGAAAATATCGACATTTTCAGCTAATTCGACCTTATAATACAGAAATATTTTGCTGGAATTCACTCGACGCTGGAAAAATATTAACACACCTTATAGTCATCTCCATATCTTTGCTCAAGGTATATCAACAGTTCTACGTCTCTATCAGGAAGTCTAACGGTTCTCACACTTCCGTCTCGGATGGATTGCATATTAGCAGCGTCAGATTCCAAGCACGAAATCACTTTTAAAGCCTATAATTATTTAAGAGCACACAGTATTATACACCGTTATAGATTATAGTACCTAACTAGACTTTACAGATACTTGACCCAACATGAAGTACCTTTTCCTTCGTGAGAACCACTCTCTTTTCTTGCTGTTTTTTTCGCCGCTGTTCCGCTACAGTACCTAAGGCCTGTACTTCTCTCAATTCCAAACCTTCGATAGGTACTATGTCGATTATCTCCCTCTGAAATATATGACGTTAACAATAAGTTTAATTAAAGAGAAGCAGTAAGCAATTACGTGCTGCTGTTCCACCGGAACCGCTTCGTTTGCACTGAAAGCTAAACCCATTGCAAGCATATTTTCTCGAGGTGTTTTTCGAGCTTCCCAATTTTCTTTTATGATTTTCCTGAAATAATAATCTTTTCCATTTAGCGGAGATGAATAGTTACTATGAAAGTGTTGTTTAGAGAAAGAAAGAACTTGAATAAGAAATTCTATGTGGGTTATCTCTACTTTTTCACAACAACAAACCACACACATCTAACTCTAAGAACTTAGGTTAAAAGTAAAAGCAAACCCACTATTAAATACCATTTTAGCGTTAAGATAACCCACATTGTGCTTCTGCATTTCTTCTTGTTTCTCTCCAAAGCCTTCCGCTTCCTTGCCACTTGGTTCAAATTTGGTCTAAACTTCTTTCCTTTTTTCTTCACCATCGAACTCTTAAAATGATAAGTGGGGATGGACGAAAAAAGAAGCTTATGGAGTTTGGGAAAAGAGAGTCCTATATTCCGAAGATCACAGACAATGAAACAGACCCGTTAACACCAGGAAAATAGGAACTGTAAATGGTTTCTTTTAATTCACTGCCTATTCTTTTTAATATCAGAGACTGAGATACTCGCAAAACTCAGCGCCGCAGGTATCCCTGGTGAGGATCGAGCACGTCATTACGTTCTCCGGGGGCTAACACGTTCACCACCACAGCATACGAATCCTTCGTTTCGCCTTTCTCTCGGCAACTTTCTATAGGTGCTGTCAGCGAACGAAACGATGCGTCCGCATGATGTAGCGGTGAATTCTTTACACTCAGGAAAGGATAATACCGTGTTCGAATTTCATCGCAGACACCAGCAGTCCAGAGTTCTGCAAATATCTCAGGAATCCTGTAATTGAAATACATAACAAGCAGGCAAAAACATTAAAATTGAACGCAAATCCCAAAATCTTTCACAAGCATTAAAGCAGATAACGTAACCAATTAAACACTTTTACGAGAAAAAGACAAAAATTCGTGATAAGCTTGACATCCTCGATGATGTACGATTACAAATCACTAAAAATAAATCATATTAGATTTATTAAAGTTTCTGCTATTCAAGGGTACCAAAAGTATCGCTATGATACCAAACGCGCAACAAGCTGTTATACAATCGAAACGTACATGAAACTTCGGAAATCAAGCATTGTAAAGGTAAATAACAAGAGTCTAAGCTAAGAAGGAAAAACACATTTCAAGCGCTAAGCGCAAGACTATATAAAATCTACACCAGCAACTACAAATGCATACAATTTAAGCATGAAATCTGAATTATCTACTGAAAAAATCGATAAAATGACAACCAGACGGCAAGACTTGGCAAAACGCTTGCGGATATCGATTATTCTTGAACTGTTACAGTCCGTACTGCCACCGTGTAGTGATATTCTCTGATATACTGCTTCAACTTCGACGGGATATGCAATGAAGCCACACCAGTGTAGGTCGTATGACTAATTATAACGCCTCTGCAAAGTTCCTGAAATACTTTATGAACAATAACCAGGAATTTTCAATAGAGACAAGGTAACAAAACGATGAACATAATGTATGAAAAGAATTCGTATGTAGAATGGGACGTGACTGGCACGCATATGTTCGAAGTGGTGACATACTGCTTAATAAACGGATAAATGATAAAGTTCTTGGCGTTAATGAATCCCTGAGGTATGCGTCATGCATTCGACATCACTAAACATTGGTGGAGGTGACTGAATGCATATTTGGTCTGTACAATGACTCGCAGTGGCCTACTGATATATCGAGCCAGTTTTGCTATCTCCCAGACAAATCTGGTACCAATTTGCCGATCCCCGAGAGATGGAGTGTTTGGTGGGCCTAAGGCGCGAGGATCGAACCTATGTGTATTGTAGAGCCGTCTCGAACAATGCGCTGCACGCCCCCATGACACACAGCTTACGTTAATAAAATTCCCACAACTGCTCTAGGATGAAAGACTTGGTGGTTAATCTATTTATGACAAACCTTGAACACTTCCATTCCTATCTGCCGTCCATCACAAAGCGGTGCATAACACAACTACTTCACTAAATTTAAAAACGTCTTTAATCCTACTATTGTTTAACACTAACCTGAAGAGAAAATACATGCCGACGATGAAGTGGTTGTGTGAGTTGAGGCTCGAAAAATAGGCACCTATACAGGAAAGTTCTTAGTAGAAGAAACACACTTTTGACAAAATGGCATGCCCACCTTGCAGGATCATTATATTTCTCGATAAGCTTAGTTATAGTAGGTGCAGAATATACGCTTTGATCATGAATATCGAAGCTGAATCTATGATTTCCCTAAAGCACGATGTGATAGAAAATAATGCAGACACAAAATAAAACCACAATAATGCTGAGATATTTGCAAAACTTCGGAATGCTGGCATGTGCGGTGAGGATTGAACCTGTTATTACCCTTCCCTGGTGTAACATGGCTGAAGGAAAGGCGAAGCGAAAGACCAGCATGGTGTGTTGGTGAACGCGTTAACCCCCGGAAAGTGTAACAGCGTCTTCAATCTCCACTGCAGACAGCTGCGGTCCAGAGTTTTGCAAACATGTCAGCATCATTGTGGTTACATTTCACATCATAACGTGCCATGCAAAAAGAACAGGCAGTGAATAGAAGGTGACTACATTGATACTGAGATATTTGCGAAACTCGGAAGCAGACCAGCTTCAAACCAGCGATTACCCTTTCCGTGAGCTCACGTTTTTTCCACCACACCACCGAGGTTCTTGCTTTACCTTTCAGCCAGTTTTTTTTATCTTAACGGTGTTATCGTCAGTCATCCATCTGGAATGATCTGAGGAGCACAAGTCGGCATTATCCCGGCTGACAGCACCGTTAGAGCAAAGAATTGATCGAGCGAAGGTCAAAGCAAGAACCCCAGCAGTGAAATGGGTAACAGGTGAGCCCCCAGGAAAGGTTAATCGCGGGCACAAAAGTCATCTGGTACCCCAAATTTTGCAAGTAGCTCAGAACAGCTGTCGTTGTATTTCACATAATACCCTGTCATGGGAAAAAATAATAGGCAGTAAATAGAAAACTAAACGTTGTGATTTAGATACAAAACGATTTAACTCCAACCACAGGTCAGAGTGAATACAGAAACTCCAAATCAATATTTATATTGTACATATGCAAATACTCAAACAAGCAAACCTGTTCTATTCTTGCATGCAAGGTACGCTGATACCGACGAAAAGACACCGAAAATAAATACTCTGTCTGAGCGCTGTCACGAAGAAGAAAGGTACCTAAACCGGAGAGCTGGTTAATAGTGACTCAAATTTGAAAAAAAGGTGATCGAAAAAGGTCAAAAAAAATCAGATAAGATTCGGAAACTTTACTCACCTTCGGCTTTACCCTCCAATAGTTGTTCCGCTTGGAAGCGATCCATTACTCCCCAGTAATAACTGGCGCTCAGAATTTTTTCAACATCGGGGACGAGGTGATGAGAGTACTCCACAATGCGATGGACGGGAGTATTGTTGTTATTAACTGGCACTAGAAACAATAACGACGGATTCAAATATGGTGATTGGCGATAATTCTCGGCTAGTCTTCGGAAACTAATAGAAAAAGGGGAATTCTGAAAAAGCTATAGAATTACGCGAACGTCGCAGTACTATGGGCCCTGCCGTTTGACTTGAAGCTTCGCCAACGACAGCTAGTCGTTGACGAACTACTTCAGAAATGGAGCCACTCCAGTTTCTCCCAACACCTTCTGGTGTGGTTTCCTCGTCCGTTTCCGATTCGCTCGTTTCATGCGAGAAACAACGGCAAAACGGGGTGATTCGTGCCCTAAAAAGAAATCTACTGTCTAATTAGCTATGAACAATATTGAAATAACAATAAATCACTAACTATTCATATATTTAATTGAATATATGGACGGTCTGTATTGACGAATAGTCAGGACAGCCCTGGCACCTTTCCGCTTAAGTAGTATGCCACTGCTTTCACAAGATTTCCTTATAGTGCCCAGGAAATCTATGCGATGCTTTCCCCAATAAACATTCTCCACCCATGTAATGTGGTAATTAATTATTAGAGATCACTACGACTGAGGTCGCGCCTGGGCCAAAGAAGATGACTATCGATTAGTGTCATAATGAAGTAAGTAATGAAGGTAAATAACAAAGACAAGGCAAAGAGTTGAAAAAGCTGAGAAACAAAGCGATTTAAGACCCAAGATATCAGCCAAGCATGGGTCATACATGGTCGAAAATAATTTGGCTCCCCACTTTAAACAAACACTGCGGAGAATAGTGTACTTTGTTTAGTTGATTGGCTTTATTAATTGTTACTAATTGTTAACTGGCTTTGTTTAATGACACGGCTAAGTGGAAGGCAAAACAAAGGGCTAGTATGGTAGGTCATAACGTGTTCGGTCCCCATCGCAGACACTAGCGATCCGGTCATTATAGTTATATTTGTTAATTGATTTAAGTAGAAAGCCGCACAAAAATTTGGTAGAAAACCGACTGTAGACAGTGCCACCACATTCGCTTTGTTAATAACTTTAATAATCACACCACGCGTTCGTCAGACGTACAACCTGGCTTCTCTCGCAAGTGGACTGACTTGATTGCCCGAATCTCATGAAAACGCCGTTGACGGACAACAAATTTGAATTTGATGCCCTATTAACGCCCACGAGAATTTCCGACGCCAAATTATTCACATCGAATAGCATTTCCCTTTCTGCACATCTTTTCAGCTACCTGTATTCTCCTGTCTCAACATTTGCTTCAGGGAGACTTAATCATGATTGCCTGCAACTTTGCATTCATTTACAGTTTCAAAAACACCTCTAAAAGTGGATTATTTTCCAACTACAATCTTCCCACTTTAGCAGAAAATTCTCCAACCGCTGCACGAAAGGTCAGAAAAAGAACAGTCAGCAATACATACAGAAGATAAATAAAAGGATGAAGCTCTCGGCGTTGATCAATCGCTGAGGGATGCGCTATGCATTCGACTTCATTGAGCATCATTGGGGATGAATGAAGGCATACCTGGATTTTACAATGACTCGCGTGGCCTACCAATGTATACAGCCAGTGCTGCTATCCTCCCAGACAAATCTGGTACCAATTTGCCGAGCCCGGAGGGACGAAGGGCCTGGTGGGCCGGGGCCTGCGTTCGATCCCATGGGTATTGCAAGGTGCTTCCAACTACCGCCGTACACGAAAAATACATTATATATATATATATACATAAATATATATTACATATACATGCACATATATACACACTGTACATATATATGTACATAGATATATATATAAATATATAATGTGTGGGTATATATAGTGTTCAAGTACTATCGAATGCAACCATTAGACCATTAGTGCGATTGAGTTAAATTTGAAAAAGGGAAAAAAAGGTTGACGTCGCTAGCATTCCCTAAGTTGGAATAAAAACTAAAGGCACAACTCCGTAGCTCCGACATGGAAAAAAGCAATAAATGCACCTGCTCCTTATACGATCCAAAGGGTTCTGCGGAAGAACCGCATGATGATGACTGGCAGATGCATCCATCACATCACCTAAATTCAGTAGACATATTGCCATTTAGAAAATTTTCCTTCAAACACCTGAAAATGAAAGAAAAACTATATCTTAATGTCAAAATTAAAAAGAAAAAATAAACTAAAGTGGAACTATCGACTTTCTTCATTGTAACTGAAGGAAACATGGTACTGTATTATGACATAATGGTTGTAAATACCAAGCGACTAATAAAAAAGTTAGCTTAACGCATTCAGTTAAAGGCTAAGAGATAAGCTACCTCCTAGAGGTGCAACGAGCTGTCGAAGGCGACTACTGGACAAACGGAAGAAAAAAGAGTAGTTATGGTGCCATGTGGAGAAAACAAGCAAGTCAATTGATTAAAATTTCTTCCTTGAAAGAAACCTCGAACTTCGAAAGGAATTAAAAACCTTAGCAAGCTCAAACACAGTATTATCTTGTTACTTCAAGAACGCATAACAATGCACTGAGTCAAAACCCCATGATCGTTAAATTGAAGTGGTAAAATTTCTTCCACTCGAAAAAGCTGATAAGGAAAGTCACAGAAATAACGAAAGTTAGTTAATACAAGATATTACAACCTGCTACTAGGTTAAGAATAAATGTGATGAAAAATGACTAAAACACTTAGCAGCAAGAGGAACACGACCCAAGGTAATTTAGTAACTCGCCATCTTGAGCAGATAGATGAACAGCTGACACCGTTGTATGGTCAGTCGCGCTGGTGTGAGAAGAGATATTATATGCCAAGTTAACAGTCCCATGTCTGGAAAGGTTACAGAAATAATTTTGCGTCTTCGAACAGCGTGTGGAGTGTGTAGCGCAGTGGTCGGAGGCGCTCTGCAATATATGGGATCGATCCAGCAACCCAGGGTCCCCAAGCCCTCCACCCTCCCCCCCCCCAATTTGTACCAAATTTGTCTAGGAGGGTAGGAAGCAGCATTGAGTCGATACATCGATAGGCCACCGCGAGTCATTGTAAAGGCCAGATATGCATTCAATCACCTCCAACGATGCTTAATGAATTTTTTATTTTGGCATCTTCCAGGCGTTAAAGTTTTCAGAACGTGGTATACTCGAATGTACCATAAATATTGACGGCTGCCGCTTTGCGTCTAAAGTTTTGACTAGTTTTTATCACACAAATTCTTGTTTTGGTTATTTTATTTCATACGACCCGTCTTCAAATCTACTATGCTGAACGCAATACTTCTTGCATTTGTTTCGTTTCCTCGCATCCAACCACGAAGGTATTCATTGTGAATGCCGTACAATGTTAGTAGGACGACATTCTCCCTGGAGTTCTGAGAAACCCAGGCTAGGATGCTGCCACTTGGATTACAGGTACCAAACTTTCCATAGGCAAATATGGTATCAACTTCCCCACTACAAACGAATAACAAGCTTGGTGAGTCCTGAGCGGAACCGAATCAGCACGGCGATTGACGGCATCATTACCACTGCATTATCCGCCCTCCAGTGCCATCAACGTTTTCCTCATTTCAATTTTAAGAATTATAATAGACGTATTTGCGAAAAGTTAACTACACACTTAGAATGAGAGACAAAGCCTTCCGTATTTAACAGCTGGTCAAGTCTGCTACCAGCTATCGAAAAATTAGCATTGCTGAGGAAACCATGAACTTATAATAACAACAGACTTTTAAATCTGCAAAGTCGAGCACAATTATGGCGAAAATGTATATGGTGGCCTCACACCCAACTAGTTGTTTGCAGACCATCGACATTAAAATATGTTTATAGAATGTTGCTAAAGAGTGAACTACGACAGGATTAAACCGATTTCTCAATATAGCAGTCACACCAGTGTCATATTTTAAGTTGAAAATAGACATAACCTCAAAGCGAACAACATTAAGTTATACGTTACCTCTCTCTCGTAGGGTAAGTAAAGGATAAAACAAAAAGGACAAAGCTCTCGGTGTTCATCAATATCTGAGGGATGCGCCACGCATTCGGCTTCTTCAAGCATCGCTGGAGGTGACTGAATGCATATGCGGCCATTACAATGACTCGCGGAGGTCCAGCGATGTATCGACCTAGTGCTTCAATCCTCCCAGAGAAGTCTGGCACTAACCTGCCCAACCCGGAGGGATGAGAGGCTTGGTGAGTCTGGAGCGTAGTGATCGATCCCATGTGTGTTGCAAGGCGCTTCCGAGCACTAAGCTACACGAGTACAGTAAGTAATACCATCTAATTAAGAAGGACTAACGTCAATTGTTGCGACGCTGGATACATGGTGAAGAGCGATAGACGGCGCTGCAAGCGAAGCACGAATGTGCTCAGCGTTGTTTCTAAAGTAGAGCATAAATTGATGAAGGAAAATTGAAAAACTGGTATTGAATGGACCACTTGAAAAATAGCTAAATGGCTCTGACCATGGAATTTTAATTTCAAGGAAACTTACGAGCTGAAACTACGCATTTTCCTGCTTCACTGCTATACTTGTGTACAAAAGTGTCTACTAAAAACACCACTTACTCTTCCTCGAAACTGAACTTGATTTGTTAGTGACGTGTAGATCATGTTGCCGACCACCAAAACAATTAGCGACAAGGATATCAAGATAACCACTCCGGCAGCGGTACGAATTATAATCGCTCCGTAGTCCGGACCCTTCTGCAAAGGTCTGTGAAATCACTGTATTCGAATAGCTATCAAATCATCCTTGAGGACAAAAATAAATAAAGGCTAGAGTTCTCAGCGTTGAACAATCCCTGAGAGATGGCCATGCATTTTACTCCATTCATGAGATCGTTAGGTGATTGAATGCATGTCTGGCCTTTACATTAATTATAGGTGGTCTATTCATGCATCGCGTTAGTTCTGTTACGCTCCCAGACAAGTCTGGTACCAATTTGCCGACCTCGGAGGGATGAAAGGCCTGGTGATCGTGGGGTGCTGGATCGAACCCAAGTATACTGCATGGCGCCTCTAAGCACTGTGCTACACGTGCGACGACAGGAATACGTACTACCATTCAAGTACTAGAACATTCATACATAAAAACAACTCCCAAGACCGACTTTCTATCGACCTCGGCTTTGATCAAATAATTATTTATATTCTTGTTGAGCAAACCTGAGGTGCTGTTTTACTTTTTAATACGATAAAGATGACGTTTCGGCGAATTTCGCCTTCCTGGGAACCTGGAAAGGTCACGTTGACTGCGAGCTACCCTGCCAAGCACCTTCATAACCAAATAGAGGAAGTGCAGAACCAAGATTTCATTCTCACTGAAGACGAAATTGTTTAAAACTACAGCGTGACCAATAGTTTAAGCTGCAAGAGTAGCTTAAACTTATAAGATGTGTAAGTTTATCAAAAGATTACGTATTGACTGGTCATACCGAGGCTAAAGGAAAATCGTTTTCGAAATATTGTTGTGCTCTGTGCTAGCTGATAATGATACCGACTTCTGCACGGTGGATTGTGCGGAAAAACAAGTCGTTATCACCGGACAATCACTGTTACCACCATCCATCACTCCGTATAAAAGGGCACCGATAGGTGAGTATAGCTCTTTCAAGAGATGCACCACTGAAGAAGATCCAGGTCGATGCGAAGACGAAGACGTCACATCGAAAAGAGGAATTTCTAATTCATTCATTCTGAAATTCTAATTCATCATCGACTTGGATACGGATCGTCTGCTCCGATGAAAACCGAGATGTCGAAACGTTAGCCGAACAAAGATTACCAACCTCATGTAAGCTTATCAAAGAGGAATTACAAAATAGTTTCTTCTCACGCTCACCAGATTCTATGGGTCTTCAACCGAATATTCCACGTGGAGAGCAACTGCACAGAGTTGATTTGGATGGGTAGTGTACCGCTCTCGCATTCTATTAGCCTCGCCACTGACCAAATAAAATCAAACCTGCTCAAGAACAAGAATATAGAGAATTACTTGTGAAATCCTGGTTTAGCATTCCCTCTATTTGGTTACGGAGGTTTTTGGTTGTGTAGATTACAGTCAACTTCTTTCCAGGACTTTAGGAAGACGAAATCCGCCGAAATGTCAGGTTCTTCGTACGCAAGGAATAAGAATAAATAACAACACTGACTACTCGAAAACAGCTTAGCAAGTATAAACCACTAATTGAGTATTTACTAGAAACTCTTTCGAGAAACATATAAAGGTTATAAAGGATAAAGCTCTCGGCGTTGATCAGTCACGAAGGGATGCGCCGTACATTCGACTTCATCAAGTATCGTTGGAGGTGATTGAATGCAAATCTGGCCTTTACATTGATTCGCGGTGGCCTGCCGATGTTTCGATCCAGAACTACTATCCTCCTAGACAAGTCGGGTACCAGTTTGCCGATCTCGGAGGGATGGAAGGCTTGATGGGTCCGACGCGAGAGAATCGATCCCATGTGTGCAAGGGTCTTCCGGCCACTGCGTCACACGCGCTCCAAGAGAAACTTATAAGGCAGTAAAATTAAGGCATAAGGTACAAGGTAAGGTACATAACGTATACAGTAGTTACGTTATACACAAGGTAAAAATAAACGAACAACATAGCATTAATCCAACCTCCAACATCAGCCGTGTTCACCACTTCCGCTTCTAGTCTTGAATTGAATTGCGTCGATGAAACAGTTCCGTTTCTTCTGTTCCTTGACAGATTCCTCGTTTTTCCTAACAAAACACTAATACTCTGGTGAACTAAACACTCCGGAATAACAACGGTGCTGAGATATTCGCAAAACTAGGAGCCCGGGTGAGATTGAACCAGGAACCATTCCAGAACACTTTTTTCAAAAAATAATCAAATAATAGAAGAAGGACCTTGATGTGAACAACGTATGAGAAAGATCAGAGAAAATCAAAGGAGTATGAGAATAAGGATAGCCGTAACGTTCCTGGCTCTGGATTTAGCCAGGAATGCTTTCATCTTTTATCGTCGATAGATTGAGACGCTCGCATGTTCGCATTGGAGCTAATTATCTCACCACGCGTATTGAGCAGTGGTCGGAGACTGCTGTCATTCACATGGGATCGATCCCAGCACCCAAGATCCACCAAACCCATCATCCCTACGGTCTCGGAAAGCTGCTGCCATACTTGTCTGGGAAGACACCAGCACTGACGCGATACATCGCTAGACCACCGCGAGTCATTGGAAAGGCCAAGTATTCATTCAATCACCTCCGGCGATGCTCAGTGAAGTCTAATGCATATCACATCCATCAGCGATTGATCGACGTCGAGATCTCGATTGATCTTTAGAGGACCAGACTGCACGAGATGTTCAGACCCATGCCATTTTCCAGTCGTTTCATTCGCTCATGATCGCCGTTCATGATGGTGTCGGTTTGGTGGCCTCCAGCTGCGTCATTGCCATAGACAAATCCCCACCGCACACTGCTGTTCGATGGTTCACAATATAAGGCATGGTGTAATAATTTTTTTTATTTCTTGCCTATTCTTTTCTCATGGCAGAATATGATGTGAAATATAACAACAATGATGCTGAGATATTTGCAAAATTCCGGACCTTGGGTGTCCGCAGTGGCGATCAAACAGGTCATTTCCTTCCTGGGGCTTAACGCTTTCACCACCACACCATGCGTGTCCTTAGCTCCACCTTTCTCTCAGCCATGTTTTATGGGTGCTATCATGGTGCATATAGAGTGTGCTTATAGACGATAAACATATGTATACTATATCATATATGTTATGTTGTGTTATCACTGATAGCAATTATTATTATTAATTCATTTGTAGCGGTTGCTTTATACGCTGTAGAGAATAGTCTATTTTGTAATTTATCTTATATATATATATATACATAATTTTTCCATGACCCGTCATCACATTTACAATGCGGATCCCAGCACTTCTCGCATTCGATTCCTTTTCCTCGCATTCATCGCCCACAAAAGTCTTCGAACATGTTGCCTGTTGTTTCGGCTGCTGCTCGAGGATTTCGTCTTCCTCATGGATGTTGTAGAAAGCTGGTCGGGTAAAACCACCTTGCATTTTTGGAGATAACCGGGCTAAGGCGTTGCAAAGTGGAATGGGGGGAGAATTCTATGGCGGGGTGGGCGGGGATCGAACTAGCGCCTTTACTTCCCGTATAAACGTCATTATTAACCACTGCGCTATCCTCGCCCTGTTCATTCCTGAACATGTGTTAAAGTTGGAACAATATAATGCAATTTATATATATATATATATACGTATATATACATATAATTACTTAGGGGCGGATAGCACAGTAGTGGTGATGTCCATCATCACAAGTATGGTGCTGGTTCGATTCCGCTTCTGGCCAACCAAGCCCCTCAACCCTCCTGAGACGGGAATTTGGTACCGGACTTGTTTGGGGAAAAAAATCTCTCTGCGATCCAATCAGGAACGTTGCAGCCCAGTTATTTAAGGGCTCCAGCGAGCATTGCTCGACCAGCATTCCACGACATTCAGTTCGAAATGAAAATCCTGAAGCAGCAGCCGAAGCCACGCGTAAAAAGTTGGAAGATCTTCGTGGGCAGTGGATGCAAGGAAACGAATCGAATGTGAGAAGTGCTGGGATCCGCACAGTAGACTCGAAGAAGGACCACATAAAATAAATAGAAGAAAACAATGTACTCGTTTTTTATTTACTGCCTACTATTTTTTTAATGGCAGAGCATTACGTGAAATATAACCACAATGTTGCTGAGGTATTTGCGAATTGTATAAATAAATAATCACTTCTATTACGTGAATAACTTGTAGTCCCGATGATCGTCAACTGACTCGAGCGGGCGCCAGTAAATCTTCCATTTTTCCCTCTCGCGTTCAAGAGTAGCCCAGTGGGTTCTGCTCGCTCTAGGGACGCTTCGAGCATCATATCTTTCTTCTAGGCTTTTCGTGAAGAACTCTGACCAACGACTCGCTGTTCTTCCGGCAGTGCGTTTAACATCCCGAAGAATCCAGTCACTAACGGCTCTTGTCCATCCGTTGTCATTCATACGCATTGTATATCCGGCCCATCTTATCTTCGACTGTTTGGCGTACACAACGACTTTTGACCGAATTGACTCGCAGAATACAATCTGCATAATCTAGAACGCACCCAGACACGCGTGCATGAATACGCACCGTAAATAAAGAGTGTGCCAAATCGGCGCAGCAAAAACAGGGATTCCATCCCCTGGATCCATCTGAGTCTCAGGGAAGCAAAGGTCGCTTTTGGTCCACGATTAACCCCCTATCCGCCACCTAGGGACGCGCCACTTAGCCTAGCAACTAACCGGCTATCGGCATCCCTCATGTGAAGGAGACTCGTGGACAAATAAATAATATATAAGTAAATGCAATATAAAAAATTACAAATGCTCGGCACGAGGCTCGGGTGCTTGCCGAACCTCGCTACCTCTCCTCAACTACCGGGCAAGGCATCATCGCCTGGTGGCTCGAAGCTGCTACGGTCTTCGTCGCGTTCGGTCATGGGTAGCTACGTTATTCGTTTGGATAGTGTTCGAACTGTTTGCATCACTTTATTTGCACAAGCTCTTGGATCGACTTTTGTTGAACTTTCTGTGTAGTGTTTCTGTGTTTCATCATTAACCATCCTTTTTATCTGATGCGATCGGTTGAACGTAGTTTCCGAGAAACTCAAGAGCTGCGCTAAA